CTACAAATGTATCTGTGGCCTAATAAAATGTAAGTGAGTCTGTTGGAGTATCCTGTGTCATTCTTAATTTCTTGTTTATTTTGTATGTAGCCAGTGTTTCTGTTACCTATATAAGCTACATACCTACTGATAATTTTTTTTGTAGTTAAAATGCTAATCATTATAACAAAAATTGCAGTTTGTAATTGATTAAATAATACAGTGCATAAACCTTTAAAGGACTGTTATGATGGCACATTCTTCTTGGACATAGGTCAGCAGCTACTCCAAGAATATTATTTTATTTTTATTTTAAGAAATCATACATATGTCATCATCACCAATGTCATAATATGGCTTTGTTTTGCTTTTGTGATATTTCCACATATATTGATCATCGTGTAAAGTCACTGGTTCAGATTGGATGTAAGAGCCACTGGTAGGTGATCACTGTGTGAACTGGACATACGTCGAGGCTGTTTTAATAATCATCTCAGACGCCAGACACTCACTTAATTTTGTATTGCTTTATTCCACATGCACATATTGTTTTGAAAGTTTCCTTGTCCTTTCAATTTGAGTTATATTCATAAAGCAATTACTTCCGTACTTGCCATAGTAACATTTAATGAATGTAACTAATATTTATATAATCTACAATATAATTTTTATGTTTTTAATTTGCTATAAAGAGTCAAAATAAAAGACTTACTAAAAAAGACAACATTTTATTTGTTAACCTGCATGTCATGTTGCTATTAACCGACATCAGAGAACTGTGAACATGAAAGTGTGTTCTTACTGAAATATATACTAACTTTAATTAATCTTAGAAGATATTACTCTCAGGAGGAGTTGGGAGAACAGAGTTTGGCTGACAAAAATGTTTGGGAATCCCTGTCCAACAATGTTGAAGATCAGAAATGGTTTCATTGTACAGTATGTATATACTTGAAAAGTTAGAAAAACACTTTTGAATGAGATTTTCAAATAGTAAGCATGATTAACACAACACTGTGGATCATGACAATTTGGATACTTTTACACACCATTCTTAAACATATGACATGAAAGTAGGTTGTTTTTCAGTGCAACATATAGTCAAAGAACAGACACATTTTAAAAGGACAGTTCATTCAAAAATAAAAACATGTTGTTTCAAGGTTGTATGACTCATTCTTCTGTAGAAGACACTTTGAGAAATAATGACAGAGTTGTCAGTTTTGGGTGCACTTATATGGGATGATATTAGAAAGTCTCAAAATCCAAATGAACCGAACAAGATTGACTCGAACTAGACGTCAATTAATGCACGCGTGTCACCTGATCCACATATGCATAGATTCCTTTTTGCATGAGCAATTTATGATATATTAATGCAGAACAAAACATTTTTGTTCACAAACATGTCTGTATTTGTACAAATCACTGCACAATAATTTAATCCCGAATTCCACAGACTCAAATTGAAGACATTTGTTTGTGGTTAGTAAGATACATGTATAAAATGTATGCAGTACATGATTGATTGTGCGTGCATCTATTAATCATTTAGAGTCTAATATCATCCCATACACTTATACCTTTAATCTATTAGTGCTTGGAGATTGGTGATTCCCAAACAGGTGAATGTGGAAAGATTTTGATGTTTTTTTTTTTAAATAAATAAAAAAAGCTTAAAAAATATTAATAATAAAAAAGGAAATATTTGACATATTTGCACATTTACTTGTAAGACATTAATAATTCTACATGATATCCAGTAAAATATGAAGAAGAAAAAAAGAACAGGATACTCACACCAGTTTTGCTTATATACATTTTATTAGGCCACAGATCCATTTGTAGAGGTTTATTTCAAGCACTGTTGTAAGCACACTGCAGTACTAGTAGTCACTAGTCACCAATGATAACTAGGGAGGCTACTAATCAAACTATTCAAACAAAAATTAGTCTCACAAATGAAATAAAAAGCTTAGCACATCAAAGAGTAAAAACTATATTAGCATGGTTAATGGTTAAGCACAGGTTATTCGCTTCTTGTTTGCTCTGCTGTGTGCCTGTAATCATTCAGGCAGAACAGCTCAGACGATTTATCATATAACACAAACTATGCATTGTTTTGACACTGTTGCAGTTAATTCTTCACATTGAAACGTCTTTACCTTTTCGAAATAATCCATTAAACAAGTTGCGATTTGAAGAGCGTGTACTAATATTTTCAGTACCATTCGTTTGCGCGTTGTCTCAAGGACACGCCCACAATATGAGAACTAATGAATATTCATGTGACTCCACCCACTGGAACAGTTTTTCACAGGAACTGAATATTACACAACACCCTCAAGTTCACACAGGTGTCTAGCTGAGTAAGCACAGGTTCATCGCATTAACCGCGTTAGTGTTGTCATGTCCACTTTTTACGTTTTTTTTTTTTTCAAAGATAAAATCTGCTAAAAATATAGGTATTCTCAGGTTTTGGTGTTTGTGCTTATTTCCAGAATACATTTCTTTGTGTGTATTTGGGTTTATTTAGGCCGCTTGTGGGCTTGTTTTGTCAGACTGGTTTTTCTTGTGATATCTGGCAACACAGGTTATTTATTTATTTGATCAAAATATTTGTGACTATAATTTCCAGTATTTTGATGAAAATTTTTTGAAAAAAATATTTTTTATTATTAAGATTTACTATATATACACCATATTTACCAAATAGGCCTATTATGTATGACATTAAATTTACAATACGTGACAGAAAAAAAAGCAGAAAGTTGGTATATTCAAGTAGGCTACAAAATACTAAAGAAATGCAATAATCCAATGTAAACTAAAACCTCACATGTCTTCAGTTTATGAAATTAATAAACCGATATGACTGACAAATTATGCATGATCACTGCATAATGTGACTTTTTGTAATGTTTAGCTTGAAAAGTATGCTTGTGCTATCTTTCTTATAAATACATTTGATTTGATATTATCCTATTGTTATTTTTGTTACCAATTGTTATCCAGTGACATTCATACATTTTAAATATGGCAAAGGACCAAAAATAAAATTAGTTAAACAATTCAAAGCTAATAAATTCAATTAATTTCAGTATCTATTGTAAATGTGTGGATTTAATTCTCTGGAGTATTTCATTCTGATTGGTCCATTGCTGAACTCAGCAGTATATATTTCTCAGATAGCATAAAAATGTCTAAATTATGATTTTTGTCTATGGCAACATTATTTAACAGACCATTCATCCGGGAAACCATGTTTCCTCTGCTGGTGTTTGGTCTCTAGAAAGACAGAACACTAATAAGTAAGTAAATACTTAATAAGTAAACCTATAACTCATGAAATCAACATTTCATTTCTATGTTTGTATGATCTGCTTAGGAAGTGTGTAATAAATGGGATAATATACAGTCAGTATTGATCATCCCTGTTAGGATTTGTTTTAAATCCCTTAAATATAGTGTGAATTAGACCTGTTTTTTAGAGAGCACTCCACAGTAGTAAAGTTTTGGTCATCAATACATAAGGAAACACATCTGTGTTTCATTTTCTCTTTCTTTTTTTTGTTGTCTTTTTATAAGTTTTCTCATTTGTACCAGGAATTGCAACAAACGTCATAAGATACATATGCAGCAACAGTTTTGTTATGCACATCTGTTTAATTTATTTTGCTCTATTTTTCAGGAGGTACAGAAAGCAGCTTCTCTGTTCTCCATGTACAGTGATTTGTCTTCCATGATCCCCAGTCTCATAGTGACCCTCCTCCTGGTGGCCTACAGCGATCAGCGTGGCCGAAAGATCACTATTATTATGCCCCTCATTGGGTCTCTGATCTACACGCTTTCATTCCTGGCGGTCTCTTTCTTCGAGCTCAACCTCTACATTCTCATTGCCGCCAGTTTCGTAAGTGCCCTCTTTGGGGGTATCGGTACCATGCTAGGTGGCTGCTTCTCCTATGTGGCCGATTTGTGTGAGGACAGCAAGCAGAAGACCCTTCGCATGGCTGTGGTGGACATGATGATCGGCTTGTTGGCCGGTGTGGCGTCAATTTCCACGGGCTACTTCCTGTATGCAGTCGGGTTCAACTGGCCTTTCTTTACATCCGCCATATTTCAGGCAGTTAACTTAATATACGCTGTCTTCATTCTGGAAGAAACCAGAGTGATTGACCGGTCAGAGACTGCGGCTTGTTGTCGGGCCATGCAGAAACTAGCTAGTAGTATCTGCAACTTGTTTGTGGGAGGCAGCAGTCAAAGAAAATGGGTTCTTGTGCTGTTGATTGTCACATTCTCCTCTTTATCTTTTGTTAATACGGGGGGTCTGTCCATGATCACACTTTACGAACTCAATGAGCCGCTGTGCTGGAGCGAGATCCTCGTCGGCTATGGCGCCGCGGCCAGCACCTCCATCTTTATCACTAGTTTTGTCGGTGTGTATTTGTTCTCCCGCTGTCTGCCTAACATTGCCATCGCCTTCATCGGGATGCTGTCAGTCGGTATAAGCATGTTCATGACGGCCTTCGCAAAGACCACGCTCATGATGTTCCTCGGTGAGCATGAACATTCACAGTCATTTTAGAAAAATAATTTTCTTATATTACTATTAATTTATAATAAATAGGGTACCACATTTACCATATTATATATATGACTCTAGATGTACAATAGTCATACATGACAGGAAAAATCTAATTTTTTCAAATCGCAAAATGAATATACATTTTTTGTTTTCTACATTATCCTAAATTCACTTGTAGTATTAAAAACAAGTTAGTTTAGATTATATTGTTCAGTTAATTCAGACAAAATTTTAATATCCATTTTATTTATCAACCATAACATGAAATAATTTATTGTACTGGCCAGAATTTTAATATTGGTGCATCCAAAATTTTTTTTTAAGAGGTTTGCCATTTTTAAAAAATAATAAATGAGTATTTAGCACCAAGAATTAAGGAAAAGAGAGAATAGATAAACATTCAACAATTAATAAATCACAATTACAATTTTTACAAACCATCACAGTCAAATTACTTGTATATGTGGGTCTTCTCTTTGCTCTTAATATCTGTTGGGGTATATGGTGCACTGTATATTTTATTTTTTGGTGAAGATATAAAATTAATTAAGAGCAAACAGCAGCTGTTCCTAGATTACAGCCACTGCACATCATCACATTTTTATGTACTTATTATGTGTACAGTAATATTACAATAAAGTTTGCTCAATTAACTTCTTTGAAAACTGAACACAGCTGCACTGGTAATTGTACTAAAGGGTTATAAAAGTCATAGTGAGCTCTAAATTTGTAGACATGTAAAATAGGTGAAAATGTCTATAATTCTGGAGGCCTTGTTTGTTTAGTTAATGTGAGTATTGATGTGTTTGTTACAGTGAGGATTCCTGCTATGTTTGCCATTATGCCGTTCCCTGTCCTGCGTTCAATGATGTCAAAAGTCGTCTCAAAGTCTGAGCAGGGTGAGTAGTGACTCTCTGAAAATCACTGTTCCAAAGCAAAACTCCTTATTCAGCAAGATGTTGGTCATAAGAGCTCTTCTCTGCTCAAGAGTGTTTTTGTGTGACTATGCACTGGAAAGGGATTTTTTTACATTTAAGGAAATATTATGTGAATGCTTTTTTTTTTAATGAAAAGTAGTTTTGTTTGCACTTTCACCATGTATGTATGTATGCATTCCTCCTTTTGAAGAGACAATCATATCAGACTTTTCTTTGTTTTTATGCTTTGTGTTTTCTCAGGAGCGCTTTTTGCCTGTGTGGCCTTTACAGAAAACCTGAGCACTTACGGGTCCTCTGCAGTTTTTAGCAGAATCTATGCGGCCACTGTGGCATGGTGTCCTGGCTTTATCTTCCTATTGGGTTCTGGACTCTGTATCATACCCATAAGTCTATTAGGGTAAGAGTTGCACTGAAACATAACCAGTTATTGATCTTTAGAATGCTGAAATGTCTAAACCGCGCATTTAAACCAAGTGCTGACTGTATTGCGCTTTGTGTATGAAAAAAGCACATTATAAATGAAATGTATTATTATTATTATATCAGATGAATGCGTTTTAGAGAGGCTTCATAAATAGGAATAAAAAAAATTATAATTTTATCTAAATAAATAAAAAATAAAATAATTGAATTTCATCATATGAAAAATAGATATGATGATATTTGAAAAAGATTATATTTAACAGTGTTATTAAATTATTAGTGTTTTTAAAGCAGAAACCTGTAGGTCTTAGAACCAGTTCTGTGGTCTGTTTTGATTAATAGGCTAGTTCCTCATTTTTAAATTCCAGCTAAGGCTTACATTTCCTCTTTCCCTTTTTGCATCTGCTTGTATTTATTGTACATGAGTGTATGTGGCTAAGAATGTTGATTCATTCTGACTTTGTGTCCCACTCCAGTATATTTAGGTGTTTCCATTCATTGGATTCTAATGACAATCAAGCACTCTTATCAGAAGATGGGACTGAAGCATCAGATGACCCACCTGTAGCTTAAAATCAAATCAAAGGGAGTTTGGATACCTCATGGTTACCCTGTGTGTTTCTTTACATTTTCTCATACCAACACAAGTGGGTAATCTGTTCAAGCCAAAGTATATTTTTAGTATTTTGAGTCGCTGCCACGAAAAATGCATTTTTGCTGAAATGCAGTAGATGCTAATGGTGGTTTTGGAAGGGAACAGAACTTTATAGTTCTAAGGGGAAATTTTGTAAAAGAGTAAATATTTTTTTAAAATAACGATAAGAATAATTTCAGCAAAAACTAAATTCACACTTCCTTAAGAAAATACCGGTCACTTGCAAGGCAGCAACAATACAGTATTAAAGTTTTAGGTGTGTTTAGGTTAGGCTTTGATTCTGTCATCTGCAAACAAGAATCAATACGTAGTTAATGTGAATGGTATCTATAAAAGACAAGACCAATCACAATTCAGTATGCAAATAGATGTAAGAAAGATGACCAATCCAATTCAGTATGCAAATATAACAATGATATCATCACTGGTAATAGAAGAGGTTTAGAACTTTAGAAATTTAGGATTAAATATTGAAAATCATGGTTTGAATTGAGTCATTAAACTCTATTCAAATGGTAAACTAAACTAAAACTGAATTAATTCATTGTATGTACTAAATTAATTGCAGAAGTTTAAATACTAAGAGATTGAATGTTTGAGGAGTACGTTGCTGCCTTACAAGTCTAAAGTTTGGGCTGATGTACAATACATTCTTGTTTTGTATAGACCAACATTTACTGTAGATTTATAATGTATATACAATTGTATTTCATAAAGCATAAGATTTAGGATGCATCTTTATAGTGTTTTAAAGTTGGCTATGCTTTTCTAAGTGTGGCAGGTTTTCATTGGTCTCATATTTGCACAGATCTGGGTCACGAGCAATTCAGCCAATAAGCTCTGACCTGCCATTGACTCTCTGTCCTGTGTGGTGTAAATTTCATATACATTCTCATCTTGACAAAATCATGTCAAGATACATAAATGATAAATTAGCGTAGATCAGTTTACTTTGTTTGGAGGCTTAGCAGTGAAAAAGTGATTTTGGAGGACTGGGCACATCAGTCAGTTGATATTTGTATGTGTCTGCCAGTACTTGTGCTCCTACACGCACAAACTACATTGTTTAGCACATATGCAATAGGAATGCATACTGAACCACTGAAAAAAAAAAGTAGTTAACCTCATTCATTCACAAAAACACACTTAAACCCAACTAAATTTGGTAACTTGTGTGCAGTTGTGATGTGTTGAATATGAATACATAACGTTTCTATTATGAAATGTAATAATATAAAGGATTAATGTCTGTCAGCTTTACAGCCTATAAAACCTACTGATGTGTTATTTGAAACATATAAATTGTGCTTTCCAGACTTGGAAATGATCAGGTTCTAGCAATTATTATTATTATTTGCAAAAAAAAAAAATAATAATAATAATAACAATCAGCTCCTAATTCAGTTGCTTATTTAGCATCTGCTAAATGAATAAATATAAATGTACTAAATAGCTCTTTTTGAGTCCTGTTTAACATTTTATGTCAGATGTCAGGGTGTCAAACTCAATTCCTGGAGGGCCGGAGCCCTGCAGAGTTTTGTTCCAACCCTGCTCCAACACACATACCATGTAGTTTTCAAATAAGCCTGAAGGACTTGATTAGTTGGATCAGGTGTGTTTAATTAGGGTTGAATCTAAACTCTGCAGGGCTCCGGCCCTCCAGGAACTGAGTTTGACACCCAGTTTTATTGGTAGATCACTGATTCTTAAAGTGTGGTACGTGGGCTCCCTCTAGTGGTACGCAGAGGAATCACTGAATTAGGCCGCGTGTCCATCAAAGCGTTTTGACAGTGAGAAGTTCGCGTTTAGTTTGAGCAAACTCGAGTTTTCGGGCTCAAGAAGGTGGGTTGGTTTTGAGCAAGCGGGTTTCGTCACCATGGTAACTTACGCTACACGGCTAGATCGCAAACCAAAGCTGGACCAATCAGCTCTGAGTAAAGTAACATATCCATCTTATTTTTCAGTGCGCAAGTAAGCCGTTTTCTGTCAATGTGCGAGACTTCCGGTTCATTAACCGCTGTAGGGAAATAACGAGAAGAATAACAAAGTGCAGTAAACGGTAAAACGGTTTGCAATACAAACCAGTGTGTTCATAATTAGGACAATACATTAAAATAATATGGTAAGACCAGTTTGAAATATCAAGCTGCTAAACGAGGTGTTTTGTACAACTAAAAATAACTGGAAGCGGGTGACACCGGAAGCCAGACACAAATGGCCGCGCCCGCTCTTGCGGAAAAATAAGGTGGATATGTCTGACGCAATAAAGCCACCCTCTTTATCTCTCACTACAAATTAAAGTTTATAGTGATACATTTTTAGAGACAAATCTTTTGCTGCTAATTGTTTATTATATTTATATATTTTAATTATGTATAATTCATATAATATATTCATATAATTAATTATTTCAAGTTAACAATTAATATTAAACTTAGCATTGAAATGAATCAGTCAAACTGATGCTTTCCATGTTCCGTGTGATTGGCCGTTTGCCGCACGTGTCACACTCTCAGGTGCACTCACAAAACTCTCAAACCCGAGTTGACAGAGAACGTTTATGAGCGTTGTTCAACAGCTGATCCTGGTCTAAACCTGGTTGGGTTTGTCAAGTTTTGTGTCAACTCCAAAACTTTCTCTGCAACTCTGAGTTTGTTCATCTCTCTTCGTGCAACAGGTTAGGTCCACAAAGTAAGTTACCAAGGTAAAGTCCCTTTAAACTGCTTTGGTGGACACACGGCATGATTGTTACTTGCAGCTACACATACAGCCTGTTATTTTTTTTTATCAAGTACTTTTTTAAAAAGTTAAATAAAAACTGTACTGTTCTTAAATGTTAAGTACAATACATTTTCATTTAAGTACATTTTTTTAAACATTTAAGTACAGTAGTTTTTATGTAACTTAGGTACAATATATTTTAATTAAAACATTTTTTTTAAATTTACCTGGATTTAAGCACAGTGCAGTGTTAATGTTAAAAATATGAATTTACAATGTCTATAGTGGCCGACAATAATAAATATTCTTGTTAGGAATAAAACTGCCTCGTTTTTAACTATGCATAGCTGTAGCTGAATAGTAGGCTAAGGCCTACTACCCTACTGTATTTTAATGTTGGTCATTATGGTGGTACTTTGAGAGCCACATATTTTTTGAGGTGGTACTTGGTGTAAAAAGTTTGAAAACCACTGTGGTAAATAAATGTTTGTAGAGATGATTTTACATTGTGCGCTTTATCATTGTGGCCAGAAGGTGGCAATATACATGCGCATATAAATATGACCGCACAGGAACGTCTTTGGCACAGTTTTAAAAGTTATTGATCATTCGTTTTAGTTTATTTATTTTTTTTTTAGGTTTTTTTCAATGAAAGTGAAGAAAGGTAAGAGCTTTATATACGCTCGTGATATATGATTTTATGTTCTAACTGACATTAACACTTACATTTGTAGTACAATGCGACTTTAAAGTTTAAAAACAATTTGCTTTCTAGGAAGTCACAAAGCACAAGTGAAATATATGACGCAATACATTTGTCCGGAAAAAAAACTGTGTAAATACACAATGGAAATTAGAGGTGCCCAAAGAAAAATAGAACTATCCTGTGTATAAAGGTAGAAATCTACTGACGTCTGTGCTGTCACACCTCCCTATGGATTTGATTTCCAACCCCTGATGTGATGAGAGCCAGTGATCTGCAGCTCTTCATAATTGTGCAGTCAGAGTGTCTGCCGAGTGAAAGTATGATAAATCTGAAGTGTAAGGGGCAGCGTGCTTCTCTGGTTTCCAAACTAAGGCTCCACACCGCTGACTCCACATGATCTACCTCACCACAAGCTGCCATCTCCCCCACACCCTCTGTTTATCTCCTTCTCTCATTTCTCTCTTTTAATCTATGTATTTCAATTTTTGCTGTCTCCCCTTTCCATGCACTCCAACCCCCTCCATATACAGACACATACTGTTTTATTTCATCTTCATTCAGATGCGCAGGCACACACACACACGCCTGATTCACAACCCCCTGAACCGTTTGTGGTTGGCTAAGCCAGATAACACTCGCACCAACATGCCACCCAGGGATGAAACGCATCCACGCTCCTAACAAACAGTTGGACCCTTCTCTCAACGGACACATCTGGGGCTTGTTGGACACAGCTGTTTCTGCAGGCCCACACCCCACGTTAGGGGTTACAGCCACATGCTGAACAGCTGGAGTCATATAAGGTAATGTGAAACTTGTTGGCAAGCAACAACTTAAAGGGATAGTTCATCCAGAAATAAAAATTATATTATTTAGCTACTCACTATTATGTCGTTACCAAACGGTGAGACTTTGTTCCATCTGTGTTACGTAAAGGACGATATTTTGAGAAATGTCTCTGTGTTTTTTTTGTTGTCCATTCATTGGGAGTTAATGGTCACCAAAACTGTGTGATTAGCAGTATTCTTCAATTTACCAACATTCTTCAGATGTAAAAACAGCTTTGGAATGACATGAGGGTGAGTAAATGATGATGATTTTAATTTTTGGCTTTAAAATTCCTTTAATAAAACCTTAACAGAACATAGCTGTTAGCTGGGAAATAGCAGTGAAGTAATGAAAACAGGTCACATGACCATGACAACGTTGATAATGACAATGTCAACAGATTACATTCATACTACACACATTCATACAATATAGAACATACTTTTTAACAGTCACAAATGACTTTTTCAAAAGAAGTACCTACTTCTACAAATACTACAAGGTACTTAAGATGAAACTACAACAGGTTTCCAAAACACTGCCTCTGTCTACTATTGGTCAAACATCAGATCCTGCCCCCAAACTCAACCTATTGGTTCAACTAAAGGAGCTAGTTAGCATGATCCAGTTAGCACAAAAAACACACTTCTCCATTTATTCACAGTGCATTCTGGCAAAATAAATATACAATGTTTATAACATAAATATTTATATTATAGTAGATGTATCATCAGCTGGGCCACAGTAATACACGGGCTTACCTAGCGCAGGGCCCCGGGCTGAAGGGGGCCCCTGGTGATGCCTGAAAATATTGTAACTGCATTTTATAATAAGTTGACTGTTCCTTTAAAATCACGCTTTATGAAATGCACGTTCGGGCATTGCACGTCTTGGAGGGTCAGTCAAACACTCCCAAATATGAAAGCGGATAATATAGCCTAATCATTATGCTGATGCTGATGTGAACTATTCTGCATAAATGTAATTAAATAGGCCCATCATACATATTAATGTACTGTTTTATTGTAAATAAAGGGGTGAAGTCAGCAAAAGTGGGACATCAGCTAAAATGGGACAAATAAGCTTTTGGTGCAGTGCTCCTTTAAAAAAATACTGATAATAATGAGTGGTCTTGAAATGTTGTAATAACAATACCTAATTTGAATATCAACATTTGATTAGTCAAATGTAAATCATAAATGAATTAGGCTAATTCAATGCGAAACTGAAAGCAAACGGCGTTCTCGCGCAGCCTACCTCTCTCATTCGGCATTAATCCAATTAAATGTGTCCATATTTGCGATGTATTTGAATGCTTTATGTAATCCAAGCTTACTTAACGCACTTAAAAAACATCCTCGTCACATGAGCAAATGTGTGTTTGGCCCGAGCTCAGGCTGATCGACACGGATTGTACTACGCAGTAGGCTACGCACTATTTAAATTAACCAGTGTATCTATGTTTGGTTGACTGTATTTTATTCTGATAATGAACAGGCTGCAACGTTTGCAATGCTGTATGTGTGTGCGTGAGGCGCCGGCGCGATCGAACAGCGGAAACAAACAACAAAAAAATACTCTGTTATTTTTGGTCATACAGATCATTTGAAACTGCAATGTGTTTACTTTATTTCTGTCATCTCGGTTTCCTTTCCCTGGACTTTCGTAGAGCGCCGCGCCACACAAATAGCATATGAACCAAACTCAGCAACATAGCCTATATCTCTCAGTCTTTTCCTTTCGTTTTGTTAATCTGTTAATTAGGCTATTTAAGTCAAATATTTCGCATATTCATTCATTTTATATATACACTATGATTTAATAAAAACAGATTTTATTTTTAGTTAAACTTAATTTTTGTTGCTCGTCCGCCGTCTTTTTCTCTTCTCCGACCCCGCAGCTCTCTCTCCGATAGCTTAGTGTTAGTGGCACCAGTCCAGGTGTTTCCAGGTTTTACTCGTGCTATTTCTCCATGTTGAGAGTTTGGTGTTGCACATATTGCACCTGACTATGCATTCTTATGCTTTTCTCCGATGAACTGAAAATAACAGGAGTGTGTCCATCTCACAAATGTAGAATCCGTCTCTGCAGTCATCTCAAGCATCTAATTCCAGCAACAGAAGATAGACAAACTATTTTACCCGTGGAATTTTTTCTCTGGTGCTGTTTTGCTGTGTTGGTAAATTCACCACTTAATTTTGAGTTAAAATATGTTGTTGTAACTTGCGTTACTGAGATTGTAACGAGTAATAATATTACCCAAATTTGGTTAGTAATGCGTTATATTACTGCGTTACAGCAAA